TCGTTTTTTTTTTAATTTTGTCTGTCTGGGAGTCAGTAGAGTCAATAGAATCTCAGAATCTTATAGAATCAGCGTTTCCTCCCTTGCGATGAAATGATATAATTTTGTTCAAGACAATTGGCAATAAAGAAAATGCATCTTGTTTTTGACACGCTGTGATTCAGACTACTTGAATTCAGCTGCCTTTCTATTGATCAACATCATCTGGAGTCCTCTGGACACACCCGCACTAGTGATTCTATGGAGCTCGTACTAACGAAACGACATAATAGTCGAGAAAAACGATGACATACATAGAGATTCTGCAGTCAATGGAATCACTTATAATCAATAGAATCACCCAGAACCATTCAGAATCATGGAATCAGCTTTTTCCCTCTTGAGAAAAACACTGAATGTGAAAGTTGTGCAGTCGTAGACGAGCTTTCAGAATATAAGTCTATTTTCAGATAAAAATGATAGCATTGTATAAAGATCAAAAAATATCGTTGGTTATGAAATTTGATCGTTTTTTGTCGAACATTGTAATGTGAAAGATCTTATAGCTTAAAACTTCAAATTAGTATGAAGTATTAGTTGATTTACTTATATTCGAATCCGCGATTGGTTGAATCACATGTTTTGCTTACCTATTTCAATCAGTTTTTATTCGAACGAATCTGTAATTTAACGTCGTACAAAAGAAAGTGTCGGTTTCACTATTTTCATTTAAGGAAATCTAAACCCAGTAAAACTTGCGCATTTATGGCGACACTCTTTTGAGAATTTTGCTTAGATCTGAGCTTTGAAATGTGACTTCATAATTTTTGAGCCGTGGGGGTACCTCACAGATTGTCCTATGAAGATTTGAATCGGAAAGATCCTCATATCTTCCATATTAGTTCTTTAAATTTCAATAAAAATATTATTTTCGTTATCAGCACGAGGAATTCTATCAGGTCCAGTAAAAGATTTTCAAATTGATGACCAAAATTTTTTTTCGACTCCTGGGGGTGCTCGAGGTACCAAAAATTCTGAAGTAGCACTTTCAAAGCTCTGACCCGAGGAACAATTTCACAAGACCGTCCCCATGACTATACAAATGTTATTTTGTTGTAATTTCGTAAAATGAAAAATATTGAAACCATTGCCTGTTTTTTGTCAAACTATTCTCCTTTAATGAAGTTCCGTAAGGGAGTATTTTTTGAAAAAAGTTCTCAAAAGTTCAAGAAAAGTTTCATGAATATCGGTTCATGTGATAGCCCTACCAAAGATGCATCTAACTGATAGAATTCTTGAAAATCAGTTTTCAGCATGAAAGAGAAACATTCAATATAAGCATATTTCGTTACGGAATTTCACGAAAAATATGAATGGTTTTAGAATGCAGTATCTCACTTCCAGAATATTAAAAGTTTTTGTATTCGTCCAATTATGAAAGAGCGAATATTTAGCTATTGATTTCAAGGGGGGAAACGGCGGACTTTTCGACTTCAACTTACTTTGAACCACTTGAAGTTACTTCGAGTTAATTCAAGTTTTTTATAATATAAGTTTAGTCATTATTTCTAAATGCTAGTATTATAATCCTTCATATTTTCGATAAAAAAAAATGGTATAACATTGAAAAAGTCTTTAATTAAGAAAAAGAGGTGCAACAAGTGATATAGCAATGTGTTTCACAACAATTTATTCAAGAAAAATCAGATAAAAAAACCATAATTGACTGTATACATATATTTCGAATAAATAAAAATAGAAAAATGTTCAGCTACGAATTCTTTTTGTTGACAGACATTGTTTTGAGTCTGATGTTATACGACGCTTAGCATTATGGTTTGGTTGTAATGTTGAAATTGACTTTTTATTAGGCTTTGATTGTGTACTTATACTTTCATCGGTGCATACCTGCACAGGCAATATACCGGATGCGGCATAAAGATTGCAACATTTAGTATTTTGAAAATATCTCATCACAAACCAATCGTATAATCTTGATTCTTTTTTAAAAGATGCTTAGTGAAAAACTCTACAAAAACTATAAAAATAAATCCCTATTGACTTCCTCTGATGGTGTCTCCAATACTTAACATGAGCAGGTCACATGATGGTGTTATGTTCCACCATATTTAGTATAATAAAATATTTGGAAGACTTTCTTTTATTTTGAGAATAGTTCGACTCGGGAATATGATAAAGTCTTGATTTATTTTTCAAGAATGCACCGTCAGAAACTCTATAAACACGTTATGAACAACGTTTTCTTGCAAAACAAAAAAAAGTCTTCTAAATATTTAATACGGTGGGACATAGCACCATCATGTGACCTATTCATTTTGAATATAAGAGACACCATCCGAACAAGTCAATAGGAATTTGTTCTTACAGTTTTTGTAGAGCTTTTTATCACCCATATTTTAAAAAAACAATCAAGATTATACGATTGACTGTGATGAGATATATGCAAAATATTAAATGTTGTAATCTTTATGCCGCACCCGGTAATACATATTATTCAAACGAAATGTGTTCTTGAAATGAAGATACTCTTCTTGATATTACGATTTTATCAAAAGATATTTTTGAACGTGTTGATTATAAATTTTATGATGCTGTTAAAGCAGTAGCAGGTAGTAGTCTGCGTGATTGACATCTTTAGTCACGATCACGATCACGGCTTTAATTTGTACATAGAAATTAAAAATACTAAATGAGCTTTTAATATTCAATAGTGCCATCTATAAACTGTTGTTGATTGGATCCTGTGTTAAAGAATTGCAATCATCATTGAGAATTACCTAAATTCTTTTCTGTTCTTAATCTTAACAACTCTTAAAAATATAAAAATCTTAATTAATATTCATTATCAGAATGTCTATGACTAGTAATCAATTAAATAAAAAAGATATTGAACGTCTTGTGTCACAAAATAGTACATCAATATCGTATAAAAAACCAAGTGAAGCAACTAAAACTAAAATCTCCAAACATTGGAATAATTTCAGTCAAATATATGTTTCTAATGTCAAACAAGATTTCATTGTTTGTGATGATTGTAAAACGATATTGATCTACAAATCATCTACAGGTTCTGGTTGTATGATTAATCATTTACGTTCTTGTCCATCCAAACTAAAGCTCGATAATTCATCTGGTGAAAAACAGAAAATCAACAATTACTTCAACAAAAATTCCAATGACAACAAATAGATACCAAAAAGCATTAAACGTGCTATCACAACATCTTGTGCTGAATTTGTTGCTGAAGATAGTCAATCATTTAAGTTGCTTCAAGGACCTGGTTTTATTCGTTTAGCTCAACAATTATTTGATAGTGGTCAACGTTTATCATCATAAATACCAATAGATATTGAAAATTTATTACCAGCTCCTACTACTGTAAGCAAGTTTTATTGTATATGCTGAGACAAACATTTCACTAATATCTATTTATGTTAGATTAGCCGAAGCATTGATAAAATGTATGAATTTTATAAGAAACGACTGATAAAATTTTGTAAATCCATGTTTAGTTTTTGTGTGATTGCGGATTTTTGGTGTGAATCATTCACAGGTAGGGCAGATCTTTTATGTTGCCAAGAAAAAACATTCTTTTTTTATGTTTTATTATCAGGTTTATTATATTGTGGTATATCACTGAGTTATATTGATCAAGAATTTCAATCATATATGTTTTCACTCGGCTGTTTTCCATACGAAATGAAAAATAAACGTGCATCTACTATTCGTTCTTTTGTTAATGGTACATTAAAAACTTTCGGTTTAGCATTGGATTCAGAAAAATTTGTTGTGACTAACAATGAACCGATAATGACATGTACTTTCAATACAGATTGTAAACGTATAGGATGCAGCGATCATTACATCAACAAACAACTTCAACATACGTTTACAACAAAAACAATTGATGAAAAATTAGTTGATTGTGATGTAGCACAAGAACTTTTCAATAATGCTAAAATTATGGTTTCAAATATTCGTCGATCACATAAACAACAGAACTTATCTAAAAAATTAATTTTATACGCAGATACACGTTTTTATGGAGCATATGCAATGTTAAATGTATTTTCAAGTATTTTTGATGAATTAGTTCAAATACTAGATTCGAAATTATTAACAACTTATTCTCGTATAAATGATGACTTTTTACTTGATATATGCCGATTTTTATTACCATTTGATACAGTTATTAAAGCTTTAAGTGATGATCGATGACCGACACTCCATCGTGTGTTGCCATTCAAACAGTATTTGATCAACAAATGTGAAATTGATAATGATGATAATGAAGGTTTAAAACAAGTAAAATGCTTCTTGAGTATGAAGTGTAAAAAGAAATAATGAACGTACATCTTTTAGTATTTTATTATGTTTTAATATTTAGGCAAACGTTTGGATGAAAAATGGGAACTAGCCGATGAACATCTTATTGCGGCAGTACTTCATCCAAACAATAAACATTTACATAAAAGTCCTCATTTGAAAGAATGTGCAATACTTTTATTAAAACAAGAAATGTTTAAACGTCATGACCGTTTTTCATCTACAACTACATCAACTGTTGCCGGTTTACCAGATACATTATCAACAACTTCATCCACATGTTCATCATCAATATCTTCCACATCAGTTACAAAATTTGTTTGTTTAGATGCACGAGATATTTTATTAATGGAAGTATTTGACAAACCACCTTCAGTATCAGAAAACATCATGTTGAAAAAAAATTAGAAAATTATTTAGCATCCACACTGGTAATGGAAGGTGATGAAAAAGACGACATACTTTCATTTTGGAAACAACATAAACAATCATTTCCATTAATTGCATCAATTGCTCGTGATATATTAGCTATTCCTGCTTCGAATACGTCGGTTGAGAGACAATTTTCTGCATGTAAGAATACTTTCACAGATAAACGAACCAGGTTGGGTTCCGAAAATTTGAACAAATTAATCTTTTTGAAAAAGAATATGAATATTTTAAAAGAAAAATTTTCTGTTGCATTTACTGAAACAAGCGATAGTTTAAATACTAAACGAAAACGTGACACAATTATTTTAAATGATGAACCAATGCAAAAGAAGAACAAAGAAACTAATGTCTTCGACAATCAAGAGGGGAATGGATGTTTTCTTGATTCTGAAAGTGACCGAGATGAAGAGATTTTTTAATTATCGTTTTCATACTTTTCTCAGATTTGTTTTATTACTACTCTTCATTAAATTATGTGTTTTCTTTTTGTTTTGTTTTCTTATAAGTAGAAGATGAACTATTAGATATTTTATGGTTTAAATGTGAATATGGTGTTTCTGAATAAATATTGAAGATTTTGCATATATATGCCAAAGTTAGGTTTACGAAATTTTAGTTTCGATCACGATCACGACGACAAAAAAAGTTTCCAATCACGCACGATCACGGGTGATCGTGATCGTGAAATCGACGACCACGCAGATCACTAGTAGCAGGTGATTCGTTAGCTAAAATTTTATTAATACAATTGATTAACTCTGCTGGCAAATTATTAAATACTCCTGATGTATTTGCATTTTTTCAATATGATTTAGAAGAAACTGATGCTATTAAACTTGAATCCTGTTTTAAATCTAAAACAGGACAATTTATTGTGAAGCCAGGCATTCAAAGTAGTTTTTCATATCTTATGAATTTACTGAATAAAGCATTAAAACAAAAACAAGAATTAG